CGAGACAATTAATGAACTAATAAATCAAATGTATCGGGAGTCTCTCACCACTCTATTAACTGAAATTAAAAGCAATGCAAAACACTATGCAGTTATTGTGGATGAAACTCGCGATTGCTCCGGGCATGAACAGTTGTCTCTGACTATACGATGGGTATCAGCTGATTATGTTGTCCATGAAGACTTCATAGGAATGTATGACTGTCCTAAGACTGACGCAGAATCAATAACCCTTACTATTAAGGACATGTTAATGAGATGCGGCCTGGACATTGGTGACATGAGAGGGCAAACCTACGATGACGCATCTGTTCTACAGGGACAAATGTCAGGTGTGGCCAAACGTTTTAAAGACATCAATCCCAAAGCAGTCTCAATGCATTGCACAAATCACAGTTTGAACCTAATTCTTCAGGAAGCTGCTTCAAAGTGCAATATTGTACGTGGTGCCTTCAGTTTAGTTCACGACATACATGAGATAATAAACAACTCACCAAAACGACTTGCCATCTTTAAAAACATTAGGGATGCTGCTGCTGCCTCTCCTGGAGCCAGTGCTGGCCTCACACCGCTCTGCCCCACTCGCTGGACAGCCAGAGGCAGTGCAATCAAATCCTTGCTTGCCAATTACGAAGCTGTCTACGACACTTTGGATGAAATAATCCAAATGGGGGGGGAACACAGAAGCAAGCAAAAAGGCACCAGGGCTGCAGGCATTGATGACTCAATTCAGTGTTTTCTTTGGACTGAAAGTGTGTCTTAAACTGTTTTCTTCTGCGGAAGAGGTGGCTCGGGTGCTCCAGTCCAAAGACCTCTCAGCAGAGACAGTTAAGTCAGCAGTGCAGATGCTCCAGACACACTACACAAACCTGAGGTCCACAGAGGCATTCCACAGTATCTTTGAAGATGCCCAAAGAACGAGCATGAACGACCTGGTCCAGGCACCGGCTCTTCCTCCAAGGCGGCGCGCTCCACGCCGTTATGATGATGGGGATGCACCTCATCAGTGGGAAAATCCAGAGGACTACTTCAGGAGCCAGTTCTTTGAGGTAGTTGACCTGCTCACTTCTGAGCTGACTCGCAGGTTTAACCAACCCACTCTGCTTCTGCTGATGAGCATGGAACAGGTACTCCTCACAGCAGTAAACAGTCCCCCGGGATTCAACAGCATCAACATCCCCCAAAATCTGGTCGACATGTACACAGGTGATGTTGACATGGAACGGCTGTCCACCCAGTTGTCACTGTTTCCAGCAGTTTTGCAGGCACACAACAGTTCCGCCGCTGAAAGACCCATAACTCAGGTGACAAAGGTGGCCACAATCGCGGACATGCTGGCGGCACAGGGACGAGGCACGCAATCCCTCTTCAGTGAGGTGGACAAGCTTCTACGGCTGTATTTGACTGTGCCGATGTCCAATGCAACAGCTGAGCGAAGCTTCTCCAGCCTCCGTTGGTTGAAGACGTTCCTTCGTTCAACTATGTCCGAGCGCCGCTTAAATCACCTTCTCTTCCTCCACATCCACAAAGATTTAACCGACGGCCTGGACCTCAGAAAGTGCTCCGGAGTTTCTGCTTTGCCAGTGAGCGAAGGGAGGTTTACTTTGGCAAAATCTAGGAAGATGGGGTAGATTTAGCCACGAGGGGATTTTATTTGCTTTACCCGAATGTATTGTGGGACATTTGTTTGAAGGTTGCCACCCTCATCTGTTATTGGACATTTTTGTCATGTGATTTTAATTACACAACATCACAGCTTTTATACAGCTTACTGTTAACAAGCTTGTTATACGTTCTTTTCACAAGAATTGTTGTTTGGTTCGGTTAAATAAATAATTTATGTCCATTTCTTGAATTTCTTGAAATAAGTTTCATGAATTGCATTACCTGTAGATGCTGCACCGGTCTCAACGCTGTGTGTGTCCGTCAGGAAACACACTGTTTACAAGTAGTTCCAGCAAACATCCACTGATAAACTGCGATGTGAACAACCTCATGATAACCTCACATGTTTTTAACTTAGGATCATACCTGTGTTTAGTCTAGAAAAAGGTAAATGTGTGCATTTTATTATAAAGTTGTGTATATTTACAGACTGTTGCAAAAACTAAGAAGCTTATAAACATCAGGTTTAAAACTAAAAGAGCTTTACAAAAAAGTAACAAAATTAAAGATGTTTGGAGTTTTATTTTAGTTATTAATTAAAAAAAAATTCAAAGAGATGCTGATTTGATACCGTTGTTACATACAGTTACGGCATTTCCTGTTTCTGCCGGAGAGGGGGAAGTTTGTCCCAAAGCTTGCGGCTGTATTTACTCCATCCATCTGACAGGAGGGAGCCTCATGTGTCACTCCACGGAGTTCACTCCGTCACGGAGGGGGAGTGTATAGGGGTAGGCAGGGTGTAGGGCGTGGTTTGGGATTGGGCCATACTCGCGCACTTTTTTGGCCCCCCCACTTCTAAAATGAATCCGGCGCGCCTGCCTGGAGTCAGTGTTTGGTACTCCAACTTCTGACGATTGTCAACGGGGGGGGGGGGGGGGGGGGGGGGGGGAGTACAGAGCTTCGTGACCGCGGAGCGTGTGAACATTGTGATCAGCTGTTTTAGCGCAGGGCTGCTGTACAGACCGACGTTAACAGCAGCCCTGTCTGTGCACATGGAGACCGACTCTGTCGTCCGGTGAACCAACCGCCTTCTGGAAAAGCTTCACATTTACGTCGGTACGCAAATGCGCTTTGTGACACAAGTGACGGTACGCATTTCAGATTGTTGCCGCGCATGCGTCCCTGCGTACCAGTTATGTGCACCCCTGATTATAGGTGACGACACTGAAGGTCTCATCATCACCCTGCAAACCACTGATGTTTGCTTTTGGTCTAAATGGAAAAACAACAGTTGTTTTCAGAAGGAATTCAAAGGAATTCAAAATTACTCTCCCTAAACATTCTGCATGGCCTTTTTGACCTGACAGCTCCACCACCTTAACCTCCTCCTTCTTCTTCTTCTGCTTTTTATTCATTTTGCTGACTTAACTGAGATCTAGTGTGATTTCTGAATTATGTTTGCAATGATATCATTAATGTGCCAGAGTGTTAGTTTTCCCAGCAGAATGATCACTGCTGCTGAGACTCCTTAAGAATGAAAAAGACACCGTAATGTGCAGGGGAGCAGCTCAGAGGCGCTCTGAATGAATGTCTGAAGGTACAGTATGACCATAAACCAGAGCCATAATGGAAACAAACATAAATACTGGTATTCATTTATGTGTAACTGATAGTACCTGCGAAATATGAATTCTTACCTTTTTTCGAAATGCAGTTTTCTAGAAAATGAAAAACAATTATTTTACATTTGAAATTGTGTTTGAAATGAATGTGAACTTTATTTTTTCCTGCTGTTCTTCAACGTGAACCCAAGGTGTTGTACCATGTAAGGCTGGTTTCAAAAGGGTCAATAAAATATTTCCTACATCTAAAGCTGGGTTTTCAAAAGTTCCCGAGGTCAATATTTGTTATTCTTACCACTCGTGCTTTGAGTAAGGAGAAGTGCCAATCCAAGCAAGACGACTCCCACCGTCACAGTTGCTCCAACCATCAATGTCATCTTCCCTGCATTAAGATTAAGTTTAACCTTTATTGAGAGAGGAGATTTACACTTAACACACGTTTCTTCTTTCTTTTGAATATATATAATCTCCAATATTGATATTTTGCACCTAGGATGGTACATGATTAAAAATAAAATGTTTTTAACATAATGTCTGAATTCTGTTTCTCTCATTAACAATATGCAGCTGCAATTATGTGCTTCCTGCTCATCTGATTTCAAAGGAGAACAAGTGACATGACTCCAACAGATTTAGTATGTAAATTGTGGAAAGCATTTATAAAAATTCCTAGCAAATCAGTTTGGCACTTTGATGCACTATAAGAAAAAAACTATACCTATAACTTCATCACCAGATGCTGGATTCAAAAGAGTTGGGGCAGCAGAGGTCCAACCACCTGCAGAAGTGAGAGTTATACCATTAATGGAAAACAAAACAATTATGAATATCAAAACATTTTCTAAAAAATCAGCGTGAATTATTGAGAATTTGATGAATTAGATCAAAACAAATCAAAGAACAAATCAATGTTGAATCAGTTTTCCTCTATTTGCGTTTCTTTTGTAACCATTGTAAGCAAGTTCACAACTGAGATATCAGACCATGCCACTTTTATTGTGCTGATAGTAATATTAGAGGAGTCACTCACTGTGTACGGTGATGGAGGACGTGTCACTGTGTGGAGATAGATATGTTTTCCCTCCAAGCTTTACGGTGTAAAAACACGTCATTTCAACCTCAGCAGGTGATCTCTGCTGTGACATCTCTAGCAGCTCAGTTCCTGTCAGAGTCTTCAGACAAGGGAAGACTCTAGTTCCTCCACTTAAAGTGTAGAAATGACAGTGAGACACAGAAACAGAGGGTGGAGTCTGACAGTGCAGAGTGACTGAGTCTGTCTCTGTGATCACCGGAGGATTCACTGTCAGTGTCGGTGGAAGAAGAGCTGGAAAAGTATACAAAGATAAAAAATTAAGAGACCCCTCCAAATATTTCTTAAATCTCAATCTCTACATATATGGCAGCCTTTACATTCCAGTGTCTGTTGAATACCAACACTTAGAAATGTTGTCAGTAGTTTATAGAATAAAATAAAAATGTCATTTCACTCAACACACATACTGTACCTATGAATAGTAAAACCAGAGATACTGATAATGCTGCAGTGGTCTCTTAATTTCTTCCAGAGCTGTATATCCAAAGCTACAGTGATAACTCACTTCGAATGATGACGGAGGAGACACCACTCTCTGGAGATGGATACACGTGAAGGTAAAAACACGTCACGTTAACCTCAGCAGGTGAACTCCTCTCTGCCATCTGAAGCAGCTCAGTTCCTGTCAGAGTCTGACGACAAGGGAAGACTTTGGCAGGTTTTCCTCTCACAGTGCGAAAATAACACTGAGACACAGAAACAGAGGGTGGAGTCTGACAGTGCAGAGTGACTGAGTCTGTCTCTGTGATCACCGGAGGATTCACTGTCAGTGTCGGGGGAAGAGGAGCTGAAAATCGTGCGAGAAATATGTTCAATGATATCACTCAAAAGCTGCAATAAGTCAATGAAACCAAATGCTTTAAAATACTGAATAATTACATTGATATAAAAGTATTCCTAATGGGGAAAAATTATTTAAAGAAGTTGATGGAGAAAAATATAGTTTATAAGATTAGTCAAATGAATACCCCAAAACCTGGACATTAAAGACATTTGATTAGAGACTGACCTTGTGCTTGAGACATTTGAAATGAATCTGTTGAAAAAAGAATTAGCAAGTGAGAAAGGTAACTAGATGTAAAGTTAACAAATGAATGACTTCAACACATTTTAAAAAGCATAACATTTGAGCCAGTGTTTTTTCCTCCCCAGCACAGGGCAACCACAAAGGCAACAAGAACACATATTAAATATAACATTTAAACATTTACTTAAATATAAATCGCTTTTTGAAGCTTTCAAGCTCTCCGAACTGTTTGCTCACTAAGCCACCACCAAACAAACAATTGACCTGTGGGTTAGCAATTGTAAAAAGCGTTATTTGCTTGTGTGCATACGTTTGTAATAGCCTACATTAATACTGAATAAATCAATAAGAGGTTTAACTTACACATGAGGATGAGAAACAGCAGGCGTCCAGCCATGATGAAGCTTGTGTGTCTGACTGTGTGAAAGTCTCAAGTGTAATTTAACAAAACGCTCAGGAAAGCCACAGGTAGCTTTAGAAGTGAATAACATTAACATACAGGCTTCAACTTTCTGTGGTTATATAAAACCTAAATAAGTATACGCAAGTGTTCACTAAAGGAGTTGTTTTTAGTTGTGTAGCATTGCAACACGTGATACAAGTTATATTCTTTGATATAAGACCTAACTATTGTTTCTATTATTAATATATACAATTATATATTCAATTTAGCCGTCACATAATTCTAATTTCTGCTCATAAAGATAATGATGTAACTTATTTTCACATAAATTAACCTGAACATATGAAGGCAAAGTTAAATGCCAAAGATATTGCTTGGATTTCAAAATGAACTGAACACAGTCTCTCTCAGGACTGATGTTGCTTCTCTGCTGTTGTCATTACCATTTTAGGGAAAAGAGTGCATAGAGCAAAATGAGCTATTATAAGACACTTCTCAATAGCTTTCTCCTTTTTCATCATTGTAAATCCAGACCAATTCGACGCTCATCTAAACAATTTGACGCTCATCTAAGCCTTCTCTAATTTACACAATCTCCCACATTAAAAGTGAATAATTTAATACAGCCAAATAATTTAAACTCCTTTATTTTTGCTTTCTTCTTGTTTTAAATCAGAACACATTTCAGAAAAGCTCAACGTGCATGAGAAAGATCAGAGAATGGTTCAGGTCCAGCCATCATTTATGATAAAGAGCAATTGACAAATGACATTCAAACAAAAAGCAAATTAAAGGTGGGGTAGGTAAGTTTGAGAAACCGGCTCGAGATACACTTTTTGTTATATTCCATGGAATGCTCTTAACATCCCGATAGCAATGAATATCTTAAGTGCTTTGACAAAAAATCCATAAAAAAATGTCATCTGTGGAAGCCGTAGTACTGTAAAAAGTACGACCAATCATTTTAGCCGGCCCGGCTGAAATAACTGGATGGCCTACCTGCCTGTCTGCCTTCCATCTGTGCACAAACTTATCTCGTGCCCTCATTGGTCATGTGCACGTTCGTGTGTGTTGGAGGAGGGGCTCTATAAGGAAGTGGCAGATTTTCTCCGGTTGTGTATTTTCAAATTCTAGCGATCTCGAGCCGGTTTCTCAAACTTACCTACCCCACCTTTAAGTGTCAAACATTTTATTGCACGTAAAGTTCATTGTCAGATAAAATAAAACCTGTTAAAAACAGCCTCAAAGTAAAGAAAGTAGGACTGAAGTGATCTTTGCTGTAGATAAGAAGCTGAACTAAATACTTTTTTAATCTTGACCTGAAAAAAAGCTAAATTGAAATGCAGCTTGAAACAAATGCTGAGCTTTGTATATAATAGACTTTAACTTGAAAATTGCATAGCTTTAATAGTTGTAAAAACTCGATCAGCATTATACCAGTGAACGTCATACACAAAGTTAATTTCAGTAACAGTTGTTAGTCTGTCTGCTTCTCTCTCCGTAGGGTATCGTTTCAGTGTGACTGCACGGTGCTGTACATTATACTCTTGAGGTCCGATGCGGCCGGCTCCTCCGAGATGGCTGCGTACATATGGTATGTCTCCATCTGGAATAAGGAAGACACCAACTATGATATACTGTACATGATTAAATACATGGCTTATTGTTTATTGCCCCTCATGTCAGACTTACATTCTCATTGTGATGCTCCTGTCTGCCTTTCACTTCCTGAGAACCTGCTAGTAAGAAGAAAAAAAAAAGGTATATATAAAAATAAATAAAATGTTGTCATGATTGTACATTTCTTTGACAACATTTCACTTTTCATAAATCTTTAAGCAAACACAATATAAGAGAGTGGTTGAGAGACTTTTGCACATTTCTATATGTCACACATACAGTACCTACTAACTTGGATTGTTCGTCTCTCCACTATCTATATTCACTTTGTAAGGTGGCCTGTCATGCTTGGTCTTCAGGGAGATTTCCTTTTTGTATTGGTTGACAAAAAGGCCAACAAAAATAAGGACTTGAGAGAAAGCCATTTCAGCTGAACGGTTTCAAGGAGAGTGAATGGCTCATGTTTTAATGCTGAGAGCACCACCTCCAGGGGAACTAGAGAAAGGCAGACATGAGCCGCTCTTGGGCCTGGTGGTGAAGACAGGAAGGTCTGAAGTGGCTCAATGGCTGTGCAGCTTGAACCAGCCTGTGTAGGATGCTGCTGCTTGACCGTGGAAATGAAAGAATTGTAGAGGCCATGCACGTGTTGTGCTCCTGACTTGTGACCTGTGACATCGATTATATATATCTGGTCTTGACAAGATACAGGTGAAATGTTCTCAGACAACATGCCACATGTGAAAAAGAGTGTCCGGTTTAAGCACATTAGATTATTTTTGTCTCAGTGCGTAGGTGGTCTCCACCAAGTGTGCTTCAGTGCTACTTTGAGATGCACGTCTTGCATGGTGGTTCTGTGCAACCCGATGAGACACACTAACACACAATAGTGATTTTAGTATCTCTGTTTAATGTGAAGCAAGCTGCATTAAAAATGTCCTAAAAACTGCGAACGGCTTGAACCAAGCTCAAATGTGTAACTCTGTAGACGGTTTGAACCAGAAATTGAGCTTACCGGTATATATTTTGAGTAGTTGTCTCATACTAAACAAATCCTACATTTTTCTTGCAATGCTTATGGAAATGCAATTCTAGAGCTTACAAATGTTTTATAATCAGACAACCTGTTAAAGGGAACTTTTGCTTTGAAGACATGTATACAACAAACATGTTCTGACTATGAGACAAACACATTGACAAGGTTCTCACCAGTTCTTCTGTTGTTACAGAGAATTGCAGAAACCAGCAAGATGACTCCCACAGTAACTCCACATCCAGCCACAACTGCTACAAACTTCCATATTTCGGCTTTGAAACGAGAAGCAATATAACTGTCAGTTTTGCTTGTCATATAACAAAATCAAGAAGACAGGTCCTGTGAATTTAAGTATACATTTCTGAGTTAATAAGGTTTTAAACATTATTTAATCGCTGAGTTTAAGTGGTAAACACATAAGTATTCTCACCTGATGCTGTTTTCTGAGGGGCTGCAGTGTTAGAGCTATCTTTAATACCAGGCGTACTAACACTTGAACCTATTAACAGACCGAACACTTTTAAAACATCCAATGCAATTCATGTTGGCATTTTTATACAACAATAAGAATCTTTAGTCTACCTGTTATATCCAGTGGCGTTTTTATATGTACAAAAGTGGTGGGGCACAAAAAACGTAGATGTCTATAAGCTTCTGCAGTGACGTGCAGTGATGTGCAGTGAGGTTCATGGCTGGTGAGGCACTGGCACTGACTCTTCAGGTTTACAAATATTATATTTTGACCTAAACCAAAATATAATATTATTTTCAAAAGCTTTTTTTGTCTGATGCTTCGATTAATTTTAAACAGACAGTTCAACAAAAGGATACCCAAAAAATGTCATTTTATCATTTAAATATTGAATTGTTCTCTCTTAGTAAGATCCCATTTTCAATAAAATGGCGGTCTTACCTTGACTTGAAGATGAAGTCCATTTGCCTATCCTTCTGGACAAACATTTCTATTACTTTTTTGTAAAAGTCCTCCTTATGTTCTTGTAGTTTCAAAAGTCTATCATAAATCTAATCCATAGATTTATGATAAAAAAAATATATAAGTAGGGTAGACATGTGGATGTTATCCGGCTGAACAAAACGTGCATTTATCTAACAGGTACGTTTCCCACAGATCTTATTTCGAGCTATTTTCTAAAATCCTCTGGAGAAATCTCATTGTTTTTTTGTGCTTACTTCCTGGTTTTAGGACGCGTCACTGCAGCTCTCTCGTCTCCTCTTCACACAGCACACTTTTCGCGGCACACGTACTTACAGCCAATCAGCTTTGAATGATTTGAGATGACGTATGGTGGGGATGGTAGCTCCATGCCCCTCTGGTCATTATTTTTTTGCCACACACATTTCATTACAAAATACTCTGAGCATGCGCAGTGAAGTTTTTACAGTCACCGTTGACTTCACAGCGAGAGGAAGGGGCATAATCAGGTTTTGTCCCACATGGCTCTAAACAGCTCAATAGGCACACACTGTGACTGTAGACACACTAATTAGAAGAACACAGACTAAAACAGCAATGTACAGACGAATCAGATGATTAAACATGATCTTAAAATATATTTTATATATTTTTTTATTTATTTTTTTGCATTTTTGTAATCATTATTTGTAATACTTTCTGCTGACACTAGGTGGGACTGTGCCCCACCTGCCCCTAATGACCAGTCGCCACTGGTTATATCTTTATCAGGTCCTGGATTCACACTACTGACTGTTTCTTGAGAGGCACAAAAACAAAAAAACATTAAAATCACAGAATATATTGTCTTTTGTCAGGGTTAAAAATATAATGCAGCATATTGTTTTCTGTGTGCTGATTGATAGATTTCTTTCACAAAAATGTTTTAGAGTTAGTATGAAACATGGAATCATTATGTCACCTGATGTTGGTTTCACTTGTGTGAGGGGAGAAGAGGAGGAACTTTCAGTAATACTTGGCGTGTTAACAGTCCGACCTGGTGAAACAACAATCAATTATCGCTGTATTATAAATGGATAATAGCTTTATTTTACTTGAACAATATGGAATAAAATCTTCACAGAGGAAAGGTTAATTACACATACAGCAACTAAACATCCTTCACAGAGTATTTTGGTCATCAATGAACAACCATCACTATGTGCATCAACTGAGATTTAGGATAATTACTTTATGTAAATATATTCAGTGTTGAGAAAAGTGAGAATATCACATGATATGAACTTTGCAACTATTTGCAAAGAGTGACAAAAATGAGAAACAGAAGAATAACCTAATGTTGGTTTCACTGACAAGCTTATTATCTAAAATGGTGTTACCTGATGTATGAGGAGTCACAGGAGAGGAAACACTGCTAACAGGCAAACCTGCTGAATAAAACATATATTATCTTTCAAAAATAACAAATAAGGAAAGTGCTTTTGAAATGTGATATGGATTTCTATTTTAAATCTTCACAGGTCCTACCTGGGGTTATAACACATGTCCCTATAGGCTCGGTCATGTGTTACTATTTTTTCTAAATATGTATTTGTATATCAAAATTTCTCAAAAACATGTATGATATATTACACCACAACACTTTTCTTGTGCTGACACTATGTCACTCACTGTGTACGGTGATGGAGGAGGTGTCACTGTGTGGAGATAGATCATTTATCCCTCCAAGCTTTAAAGTGTAAAAACACGTCACTTGAACCTCAGCAGGTGAACTCTGCTGTGCCATCTCCAGCAGCTCAGTTCCTTTCAGAGTCTCCAGACAAGAGAAGACTCTAGTTCCTCCACTTAAAGTGTAGAAATTACACTGAGACACAGAAACAGAGGGTGGAGTCTGACAGTGCAGAGTGACTGAGTTTGTCTCTGTGATCACCGTAGGATTCACTGTCAGTGTCGGTGGACGAAGAGCTGGAAAAGTATACAAAGATTAAATAACCTGAAACTGCATTAATCTTAATTTGTTCTAATGATAACAATGGAATAAGTTGCCTTTTCTAACTCTTCTTTCTCTTCGTCTTTTGAAGACCCAAACCCCATGTCCAGAGACACTTTGATGTTTGTGCTCATAATGTATGAAGACATGAAAATGTACGGCTCTGGAAAAATGAAGAGACCCCTCCAAATGTTTCTTAAATCTCTACATATATGGCAGCCTTTCCATTCCAGTGTCTGTTGAATACCAACACTTAGAAATGTTGTCAGTAGTTTATAGAATACAATAAAAATGTAATTTCACTCAACACACATACTGTACCTATGAATAGTAAAACCAGAGATACTGATAATGCTGCAGTGGTCTCTTAATGTCTTCCCGAGCTGTATATCCAAAGCTACAGTGATAACTCACTTCGAATGATGACGGAGGAGACATCACTCTCTGGAGATGGATACACGTGAAGGTAAAAACACGTCACGTTAACCTCAGCAGGTGAACTCCTCTGTGCCATCTCCAGCAGCTCAGTTCCTGTCAGAGTCTGACGACAAGGGAAGACTTTGGCAGGTTTTCCTCTCACAGTGCGAAAATAACACTGAGACACAGAAACAGAGGGTGGAGTCTGACAGTGCAGAGTGACTGAGTCTGTCTCTGTGATCACCGGAGGATTCATTGTCAGTGTCGGTGGAAGAAGAGCTGAAAATCGTGCGAGAAATATGTTCAATGATATAACTCAAAAGCTGCAATAAGACAATGAAACCAAATGCTTTAAAATACTGAATAATTACATTGATATAAAAGTATTCCTAATGGGGAAACATTATTTAAAGAAGTTGATGGAGAAAAATATAGTTTATAAGATTAGTCAAATGAATACCCAAAAACCTGGACATTAAAGACATTTGATTAGAGACTGACCTTGTGCTTGAGACATTTGAAATGAATCTGTTGAAAAAAGAATTAGCAAGTGAGAAAGGTAACTAGATGTAAAGTTAACAAATGAATGACTTCAACACATTTTAAAAAGCATAACATTTGAGCCAGTGTTTTTTCCTCCCCAGCACAGGGCAACCACAAAGGCAACAAGAACACATATTAAATATAACATTTAAACATTTACTTAAATATAAATCGCTTTTTGAAGCTTTCAAGCTCTACGAACTGTTTGCTCACTAAGCCACCACCAAACAAACAATTGACCTGTGGGTTAGCAATTGTAAAAAGCGTTATTTGCTTGTGTGCATACGTTTGTAATAGCCTACATTAATACTGAATAAATCAATAAGAGGTGTAACTTACACATGAGGATGACAAACAGCAGGCGTCCAGCCATCATGAAGCTTGTGTGTCTGACTGTGTGAAAGTCTCAAGTGTAATTTAACAAAACGCTCAGGAAAGCCACAGGTAGCTTTAGAAGTGAATAACATTAACATACAGGCCACTAGTGTTAATTTCGTCAGCTATTTTTTTATTTAGTTTTAGTCTTAGTCCTGTGTTAAATTTCCTTTTTAGTTTTAGTCATATTTAGTCACCTTCATCCTGTTTTTATTTAGTCAAGATTTAGTCGACTAAAAGTCTGAGCATTTTAGTCTTATTTTAGTCGACTAAAACAGTAAATATTTTAGTCAAGATTTAGTCGACTAAAAGTCTGAGCATTTTAGTCTTATTTTAGTCAAAGAAAACTAATTATTTTAGTCTACTTTTTGTCAATGAAAACTGTTGAGTCTTTTTTAGTCATCAGATTATATAGAACATTTCAGTCAAACTAGTCTAGCCAAAACCAATAATTTGTCATTTTAGTCAAACTTATTTCACAATAAGATTATATCTTGTCCTTATTTGATGAAAAACACAGGTTGAATGATTAAGAATGCAGCTTTGCAGAGAGTATCTGGTCAGGTTTGTGGTGTTTTTATCAGCTGTGTTAAGGCTACATTGCTTCCCTTCTGATAAAACAATGCATTCGCTTTTTTTCTCAGCCTCATTGTAGCGAAAATGGGCCCAAATATCACATCGTTTCTTTCTCCCAAGCAGTGGTGGCGTTAGACTTTTTCGTTGTCAGTCATTTTGACGGACAGGATCGTAACATTTCTGTCATAATCCATTATTACCCGTTGAGTGCACAATTTATCACTCACTCGCGCTGATGGGGGGGTATTCGGTTAACGCGAGTGCGACCACTGCTCCCAAGCCCTGTTGTTGACATTTTATTTTCTGTTAAATAAGGTTAGTTAGACCATGAGTTAGACCCGAGTCTTCCTGACAGTTGATATTGTGCCGCTGCCCGGTGTAATTCAAATGTACCGCCGCGCGCAGCACAGACACACAGCTGCTGCCCAGCCGCAGCACCGGAAATGGAACTGCTGGGAGAAAAACTGACTTTCAGAAATGTAACGTTATCTTTAATAATATTTCGTCTCCTCATTTTTCGTCAACGAAAGTAAAGAGAGATTTTGGCATAGTTTTTATTTAGTAAACTACATTTTCGTCTCGTCACTTTTCGTCAACGATATTGCATGATGATTTCGTTACAGTTATTGTTTACTGCCGTCGGTGCCGTCTCGTCATCGTCTCGTTTTCGTCATGGAAAAAAAGGTTGTTGACGAACATATTTCGTCATAGTTTTAGTCAACGAAATTAACACTACAGGCCACAGACACACACTTCACATCCTTTTTAAATTACCTATATGGTTTTTATTTTTGGAGTGTCTCTACCACAGAAGAGTCACAGTGCTTAAGAAAGATTAGTAGGTGTTGTTTGGTTGATAAACAGCCACTGTGAAGTTCCTGTGTGTGTGTGTGTGTGTGTGTGTGTGTGTGTGTGTGTGTGTGTGTGTGTGTGTGTGTGTGTGTGTGTGTGTGTGTGTGTGTGTGTGTGTGTGTGTGTGTGCTGTGGTTATATAAAACCAAGCAAGTGTTCACTAAAGGAGTTGTTTTTAGTTGTGTAGCATTGCAACACGTGATAAAAGTTATATTCTTTTATATAAGACCTAACTATTGTTTCTATTATTAATATATACAATTATATATTCAATTTAGCCGTCACATCATTCTAATTTCTGCTCATAAAGATAATGATGTAGCTTATTTTTACATAAATTAACCTGAACATATGAAGGCAAAGTTAAATGCCAAAGATATTGCTTGGATTTAAAATGAAATGTACACAGTCTTGTTATGAATGTCACAAGGCTCAGGACCCAAACGCACGACACCAGAAACAGGTCAGGATTAACAAGGTATTTAATAAAAGCACACAAGGGCAGGAATGGCTCTGAAACGAGAGGGAAAGGTTACTACAAAATAAAACAGGAATTCACAAGACAAGGCAAAAGACAAAAGGACTGAACTAAATGAATTAACTTAACATAAATGTCTAGACACCACAAGTCTCTCTCAGGACTGATGTTGCTTCTCTGCTGTTGTCATTACCATTTTAGGGAAAAGAGTGCATAGAGCAAAATGAGCTATTATAAGACACTTCTCATCAATAGCTTTCTCCTTTTTCATCATTGTAAATTTGACGATTTACACAATCTCCCACATTAAAAGTGAATAATTTAATACAGCCAAATAATTTAAACTCCTTTATGTTGCTTTCTTCTTGTTTTAAATCAGAACACATTTCAGAAAAGCTCAACGTGCATGAGAAAGATCAGAGAATGGTTCAGGTCCAGCCATCATTTATGATAAAGAGCAATTGACAAATGACATTTAAACAAAAAGCAAATTAAGTGTCAACATATCTTTTTACAATATTTGTATAAACATTTTATTGCACGTAAAGTTCATAGTCAGATAAAATAAAACCTGTTAAAAACAGTCTCAAAGTAAAGAAAATTGGAATGAAGTGATCTTTGCTGTAGATAAGAAGCTGAACTAAATACTTTTTTAATCTTGATCTGAAAAAAAGCTAAATTGAAATGCAGCTTGAAACAAATGCTGAGCTTTGTACATAATAGACTTTAACTTGAAAATTGCAAAGCTTTAAAGGTTTAAAAACTCTAAAACTCAATCAGCATTATACCAGTGAACGTCGTACAAAAAGTTAATTTCAGTAACAGTTGTTAGTCTGTCTGCTTCTCTCTCCGTACGGTATCGTTTCAGTGTGACTGCACGGTGCTGTACATTATACTCTTGAGGTCCGATGCGGCTGGCTCCTCCGAGATGGCTGCGTACATATGGTATGTCTCCATCTGGAATAAGGAAGACACCAACTATGATATACTGTACATGATTAAATACATGGCTTATTGTTTATTGCCCCTCATGTCAGACTTACATTCTCATTGTGATGCTCCTGTCTGCCTTTCACTTCCTGAGAACCTGCTAGTAAGAAAAAAAAGAAAGGTATATCAAAAAATAAATAAAATGTCGTCATGATTGTACATATCTTTGACAACATTTCACTTTTCATAAATCTTTAAGCAAACACAATATAAGAGAGTGGTTGAAAGACTTTTGCTCATTTCTATATGTCACACATACAGTACCTACTAACTTGGATTGTTCGTCTCTCCACTATCTATATTCACTTTGTAAGGTGGCCTGTCATGCTTGGTCTTCAGGGAGATTTCCTTTTTGTATTGGTTGACAAAAAGGCCAACAAAAATAAGGACTTGAGAGAAAGCCATTTCAGCTGAACGGTTTCAAGGAGAGTGAATGGCTCATGTTTTAATGCTGAGAGCACCACCTCCAGGGGAGAGAAAGGCAGAAATGAGCCGCTCTTGGGCCTGGTGGTGAAGACAGGAAGGTCTGAAGTGGCTCAATGGCTGTGCAGCTTGAACCAGCCTGTGTAGGATGCTGCTGCTTGACCGTGAAAATGAAAGAATTGTAGAGGCCATGCACATGTTGTGCTCCTGACTTGCGACCTGTGACATCGATTATATAGGTTGGAGACATGGTCTTGACAAGATACAGGTGAAATGTTCTCAGACAACATGCCACATGTGAAAAAGAGTGTCCGGTTTAAGCACATTAGATTATTTTTGTCTCAGTGTGTAGGTGGTCTCCACCAAGTGTGCTTCAGTGCTACTTTGAGATGCACGTCTTGCATGGTTGTTCTGTGCAACCCGATGAGACACACTAACACACAATAGTGATTTTAGTATCTCTGTTTAGTGTGAAGCTGCATTAAAAATGTCCTAAAAACTGCGAATGGCTTTTAGGAACCAAGCTCAAATGTGTAACTCTGTAGACGATTTGAACCAGAATGTGAGCTTACCGGTATATCTTTTGAGTAGTTGTCTCATACTAAACAAATCCTACATTTTTCTTGCAATGCTTATGAAAATGCAATTCTAGAGCTTACAAATGTTTTATAATCAGACAACCTGTTAAAGGGAACTTTTGCTTTGAAGACGTATACAACAAACATGTTCTGACTATGAGACAAACACATTGACAAGGTTCTCACCAGTTCTTCTGTTGTTACAGAGAATTGCAGAAACCAGCAAGATGACACCCACAGTAACTCCACATCCAGCCACAACTGCTACAAACTTCCATATTTCTGCTTTGAAACGAGAAGCAATATAAGTGTCAGTTTTGCTTGTCATATAACAAAATTAAGAAGACAGGTCCTGTGAATTGAAGTATACATTTCTGAGTTAATAAGGTTTTAAACATTATTTAATCGCTGAGTTTAAGTGGTAAACACATAAGTATTCTCACCTGATGCTGTTTTCTGAGGGGCTGCAGTGTTAGAGCTATCTTTAATACCAGGCGTACTAACACTTGAACCTATTAACAGACCGAACACTTTTAAAACATCCAATGCAATTCATGTTGGCATTTTTATACAACAATAAGAATCTTTAGTCTACCTGTTATATCTTTATCAGGGCCTGGATGCACACTACTGAGTGTTTCTTGAGAGGCACAAAAACAAACAAACATTAAAATCACAGAATATATTGTCTTTTGTCAGGGTTAACAATATAATGCAGCATATTGTTTTCTGTGTGCTGATTGATAGCTTTCTTTCACAAAAATGTTTTAGAGTTAGTATGACACATTTTTTTAAACTCAGCTCCCTAGTTTTTTTATGTATTTTATAAAAGAAGTTTTATTAAATAAGTTTCTTAGATAACTTTTTCTCACCGACTTGAAGCACCTTGAGATAACGCTGTTTTTAAAGTGTGATATTCAATTAAAATGAATTTATTTGATCATTTCTGTATTTCTATTCAAATGTAAAGCATGTCCTGCCTGTGGTCATAGTAGATGTCAACATAGTCTTTGTCAAGTGTGTGTCCTTTTCCACGATATCTAAAACAAAAGAAGATGGATTTACATCTGTCCGCTTCATGTGCAGAAAACTTATATTTGTGCAATCACTTGAGAATAAGAAGAAACATGTGTTTAGTTTGTTAACAGTCAAATATGGCAACTAAATAAATGTGGAGCATTAACACACTAACACATGTTTTTGTATGTCTTTTGTAAGTAGGTTCTGGATGTTATCAGATAGATATGAACTCTTACCTGGGGGGGTAGTAAAAGCTGATATTTTGGAGGGCTCCTTTTCCACAATATCTGCAGGAAAGGAAACAGATTTGGGCCTGTCATTTTCGTGTGTACAATAAAAAAACCTTATTACTCTTATTTGTGCAATGACTTAAACACAGAGCTGTTCCAAAAATATTAAACCAGAGAACAATGTATGTGCTCTGCGAGATGTTGGATGATTTACCAATTTGGTCCACACTGAAATATTTAGCAATTACATTTTGTAGACAATCATAGTCCCCAGATGATAAATCCAAATGACTTAATGATCCCACTAAAAGAATGTTCCACCATTAGGTTAACATTGTTAAGTTACAGTGACATTTATTGAAAACTATTAGATTATTTCTGTATGCTGTGAGCCTCTTTTGCAAAAGAGTATTAAAGACTCAGGAGGACAACTCCTTGACCAGTTCATTACAAGAATTTCCACCACAGATATTTAAACACTTCAAACAACATGCAGTACACTCATAAATGAAGAAATACTTTAAGATGTTTTGTGTCTTCTCTGACTCACCAGTCAAGCTGTATCCATCGCTACGAGGAGACAAAGAGTTGGCTTCATTTCCCAAACTATAATCACAGCTGGCATCATGTCTTTTAAGAAAATGTACACGTCTTAGAAAGTCATCAATTGTGACAGTAAACTGGCAGATCAGCCGATTCTTTGAATCCCTATTCTTCCAGCTGGTTGTTGTTGGGACTGGATTATTATTTTCTCCAAAGTACAGGTTACATCTTGCATCACGATCAGCAGATCCAGGCAGAGTGCAGGTGAAGAGAACGTTTTCACCAGGAAAATGTTGAATACTGATCTCTGGTTTTTGACCTAAAGAAAGATGAATGAAAAGTTATTAAATACAATATCCTCATGTAATAATGTCACAGTTCAGTCATTATGTTTTACAATTCACATTAAAGCTTTGTGATAATTAATTTTTAGTGTGTCATAATGTGATTAAAGTGTTAGTTACACTGTAATGTAAATTATTAGTCATTACTGGCACACTGTAAATATCCTAAATGAAACATTTCATCCCAAAGGTGGCATTTTAATGGAGTGAAAGTTGTTCAGTAGTTGAATCTTTTTTCACTTCCTTTTAATCATGAAATGTGATACTGCATCTTTCACTAACATTATATGATAGATTATGAAATAATGTGTGAAGCCGTCACTCACATACGGTGATGGAGGACGGGTCACTGTGTGGAGATGGATAATTTACATCTCCATGTTTTACAGTGTAATAACATTTCACTTGAACCTCAGCAGGTGAACTCTGCTGTGACATCTGCAGTAGCTCAGTTCCTGTCAGAGTCTTCAGACAAGGGAAGAGTGTAGTTCCTCCACTTAAAGTGTAGAAATAACAGTGAGACACAGAAAGAGAGGGTGGAGTCTGACAGTGCAGAGTGACTGAGTCTGTCTCTGTGATCACCGGAGGATTCACTGTCAGTGTTGGTGGAAGAAGATCTGGAAATATAAGGATAACTTCAGTTAAAAAGCTGAATATGTCATTTGTTTAAAAACATTGCTGATGATAATTTAATATATAATGGCAGAGCCTTCTTATTGAAACCCTAAAAAAGCGTTGTGCTCCTACTTTGGATAGATATGCTACTGTAGTTGTATTGAATATTAACGGTGTTGACTCACTGTGAATGAAGATGGAGGATACATCACTTTCAGGAGATTGAGTCAAGTCACGATAATAATTACATTTCACTTGAACCTGAGCAGGTGAACTCTGCCGTGACATCTTCAGCAGCTCAGTTCCTGTCAGAGTCTTCAGACAAGAGGAGACTTTGATAATTCCTCCACTTAAAGTGTAGAAATAACAGTGAGACACAGAAAGAGAGGGTGGAGTCTGACAGTGCAGAGTGACTGAGTCTGTCTCTGTGATCACCGGAGGATTCACTGTCAGTGTCGGTAGAAGAGAAGCTGGAAATATAAGGATATATGTCAGATATAAATACCTGAACATTTAATTTATTTAAATCCTTTCTGATTTTCTTTATAATGGCATGGCACAGTCACCTGGTAGTCACACCCTGTTTCTCTCTCACACTCTGTTACACCCATCAGCTCCACTAGTATATAGGCCCCCTTCACTCTCACCTCAGTGCCAGATCGTACTTCACAGCATGCAGTTCTTTCAAGCATTACCTCCCAGATTGCTCTCCCGGTTTCGACCTTGCCTGTCCCTGACCAGCCTGCCTCGCCTGCTCCCTGACCCTGCCTGTACCTGCGTCTCCCGTCTTGCCTACTCCTGGAACCCTCGCCTGTGCCCGACCAGCCCTTTGCCTACTGTCTGCCGGTTTATCTTACACCAGAACTTTTCTGTGGAAACAAGTTTTAATAAAGCTGGTTACCGACTTTCCCTGGTCTCCTGTGTGTTGCATTATGGTTCTCAGCTCGTTCGTGACAAGCAGAGAATAATTATTGATAACCTTTAACTCTTCTCTTAAGACTCGACCCCCTATGTTAAGGGCCACTGCTGTTTGTGCTGATAAAGATGTTACTTTTGTATGTTTAATGGGCAATTCAATTTCGTTGTACCTGTTCAATGACAATAAAGGAATTAAATTCAATGGATACCATTGCAGGACAACCAATTTGACTGCGATACTAATTATTTTACTCGTAACATGAAACAATGTCTGCTATTGTGACAGGAAATAAATATACTCTACAACAGCAAAGTTTGTCAAAATATTAACAGACTAATAAACATCGCATATACTGAATTTCCCCCTAGGGAATACATAGAGGCTCATCCTATCTTATCTTATCATATGTTACAGTGAAAACAGCCCAAGTGGACATTAAGATGATATATCAGAGACTGACCTCGTGTTTGAATCTTGTGAAAGGAATCTGCCGGAAAATTACAATGTTTTAACAAGTTGAATCCACATAATAATAATAATAATAATAATAATAATAATAATAATAATAATAATAATAATAATAATAATAATAATAATAATAATAATAATAATAATAAAAATAATAATAATAATAATAATTATAATTATAATAACATATTAATACCCTTAAGAAAGATATGAATATGAAGATAAAGATCAAGATAGACAATTTTTTATAGGATCTCATTCTTAAAGTCTGCACCACAGTTTCACGATAAGTTTACAGATCAAACCAGAATTAAAAACATAGGCATTAAATAAACAATAAGAACAGAAGGTAAACCACGCTACATCAAGTTTAAACCTACATTAGTTTGACAAAGTCTACATTAATAATGAGGAACTCTCCTGAAGGTATAACTTACAGATGAGGATGACGAACAGCAGACGTCCAGCCATGATGAAGCTCAATAAGACTTCTCAGATAGAAGAAGCTTGTGTCTCTGAGTATGTGAACTTTGATGTACTTCAGTGTCAATTTGCAGAACTTGCTCTCAGGAAAACCACAGATAGCATCAGACATGAGACAAACAGGCCACAGAAACGCCCACACTGTGCATCTAGTTGTTTCACACGATTTATTAAATACGTAGAATATGTTATATATTTATATCAAGTCTACCAAAGTGTCAGCTAACAGTTTCAGAAGGAAATGAAAGAGTCTTTTCATCATGTGTTCACAAGCTGCTCACAACTTTACAGAAACATTTATCTTGTTCATGGTCTGCTTGAATCAAACATGATTTTTTTTTTTTTTTTTGTCCTGAACATACAACTCTGAAATCCGTATTTCACTTCATATTTCCAGTGTGTTGCTGCTCAGGCTGTGTTTTCTGTTCTAGTTGCTGTTGAAGTAAAGTCAAGGCCCCCACGTTTCCCATGGACTTTTTCACTCTACACATTCTCTCTCAGTTGAAATAAAACTAAAGCAAACAACTGATTAACGTATTGTCCCCCTGTAACCTCAACCCCTTAAGACCATTTATCAATTGTCTAATATTTTATAGATATTAAAGCTAAAATGTTTAACTTATTGATTAGGAGAAGGCTAACATGGATGTGCTTCCAGTTTCTATTTCCTGTTTGTATAATCAGTGTTCTGTACATTAATATGTATGTATATGTATTAGTATATAACAACAGTTCACTGCACAAATCCAAATGAGTTTTACCCATCTCAAATCTCTCTGAGAAACACAATTCTTTAACTTCAAAATGCTTTTAAAATGCTGCACACGTTCTCTCTGTGGTCTGATGCAGCTGGTTCCTCTTGAGGCGCTGTGGTTAGCATTTGTCATTCTAGTAGGAAGGAAAAAAGACATGACACCAAATTGGGACATTGAAGCATTTTCTTGTATTATACAATGTCCTGCCTAATTGACAAAATATCAAAAAAATGTAATGAAACGATGTAAATTATTAATGTTTTTTTACACCCATTGTGTTCATTCATACTGAAAAATAAATTAAAATATTAAAGCTGGTAGAAAGAAAAGCAGCTCACCGATTTTGCTGCGTTCATAAGTCACGATGCTGTACGTCTCATCATAACCACTCGGTAAGTACTTTATCAGGAAGACAGGGGGAAGGTAAAGTGAGAGTTAGCAGCAGGATCACTGACTGGAAGTATACAGAAGTGTTGAGTTGCCTCTCCACTGCTGAGTTTTCCCATATATCCACTGGCATCTATAACACAAAACGCACAATTAACATTACCTAATCCCCCTGATCCTCCGCCTGGATTCTTTACAACACAAAGAGCAGGGAGTACAAATTCTTTAGTGCGCACACAAATCAAGTTCTCACCAGATTTTGTTTTGGTAAATAGAAATGCCAGTCCCAGTACGATAACACCTCCAAAAGAAGAAGCAACTATTACCAACTTCCATGTTTCTGTGTGAGGTCAGAAACAAGTGTCAGTTTCACTTCCAACACAAAAACAAGAAGACTGTGAGTACCTATGTACCAGTAAAGGGCACACTGAATATAAAACATCAAGGACAGGGTATTGCTTTGCAACTTATATAAATTAAACACTTGAGTACAGTTGAGAAGATGATACATTATTGAATTACAGATAATAATGAAGTAAATTGTTTTACACAAAAAATTGTTGTTGCTAAATAGTGTGACAACCACACAATTTGTAAAATTATTAACAGACTTTAATAAACTTCCCCTATATTGAAAACAGCAAAAGTGGATATGAAAGATGATATATCAGAGACTGACCTTGTGTTTGAATCTTGTGAAAGGAATCTGCCAAAAAATACAATGTTTTATCAAGGTCAACCAACATAATAAGAATAATAATAAAGTATTAATATCTTTAAGAAAATATGAAGATAAAGATGGACTTTTTTTTGAGGATCTCATTTTAAAGTCTGCACCACAGTTTCACGATGAGTTTACAGATAAAACCAGAATTAAAAACACCTTATCCTTTTACAAATTAAACGTGATACTGCATCTTGCACTAACATTATATTATAAAATATGAAATAATGAGTAAAGCAGTCACTCACTGTGTACGGTGATGGAGGACGGGTCACTGTGTGGAGACAGAGAAGTTGACCCTCCATGTTTTACAGTGTAAAAACATTTCACTTGAACCTCAGCAGGTGATCTCTGCTGTGACATCAGCAGCAGCTCAGTTCCTGTCAGAGTCTCCAGACAAGGGAAGACTCTAGTTCCTCCACTTAAAGTGTAGAAATAACAGTGAGACACAGAAACAGAGGGTGGAGTCTGACAGTGCAGAGTGACTGAGTCTGTCTCTGTGATCACCGGAGGATTCACTGTCAGTGTCGGTGGAGGAAGAGCTGGAAATTAAGAAGAACTTTGTCACATGAGATAATTAAATTCTTAATGGATAACTGTCAACATTTAGAAAAGTATCTATATAACAAATGGTGTGTAGAATTTGTCAAATTAAGAGAGACTGACCTTGTGCATTTATCTCAGAAAATGAATCTGTTGAAGAAAGAACGTATTAACAAGGTAAAACGTGACTTTGATAATAAATAGTAAAGTCTCGATGTTATTCTTGTTTTTCTTTCAACTCGATGTAAAAGCTTCATATCACATCCTGAAGCCGATAAATAATTATCTAATAATAAATATCAACTTGGCTCTTTCACATGAAATGAAAGGTGCCTGTATGTGTGTTCAACCATATTTCAACAAACCACCGTCATTAAAGGGCCCATGTCATGGCCATTTCCACTGATCATAATTCCATTGTTGAGGTATACTAAAATAGATTTATACTGTGCAATTTTCCAAACTCACATTGGTTTCGCATACAGCATCTCTGTAAAGTATGTGTATTCAGCAGTATTCACTCTCTCCACTAAACGACTCGTTGGAGCTCTTGCCCCCCCCTCCTTGTGAGCCTAGTGTGCTCCGATTGGTCAGCTCGGCCACTCTGTTCTGATTAGTCAACCACCAGAGAGGCTCCGCCCGCTTTTTTCGGCTCGCTCTCAGAACATCAGTCTTATAATGGCGTCGGTACAGCCGTATATTTTATACGCTAACTAACCAAACTGTACCTACAACTGTTGTTATAGAAGAGTGTGACGGCCCCAGGGCCTTTGTGCAGGTGTGTTGCAGGTCTTACGATGGGGTGGAGCTGAAGAGGCTAATCAGCGCGATCACGGACACCTCGACGGAGGTGCTATTAAGCCCAGCTGCCCGGAGTCTCTCTCCAAAGCGGCTGCAGAAGGACGAACTCGGCGATCCTCTCCCCTCGACCACCTATCTCTGCATTTACCACAATAAATGTGCCGTGGTTTTGTAAACTCGTGTATGTCTCCTTGTCTTTCCGTTGTGGCCTACGAGCCGGTCATAACAAAGAGTAAGTTATTTTTACCTGTAATAAACTACTACAGTTTGATGAGAAATCAAATCATGGTTTGCTATATATGAATGATATGTTATAGGAGCAAATAATTCAGGGAGGAAAGGATAGGCCTACTAAGTATTTCCATCAAACTTTATTTTTAGAAATGTACAAAATGCCAATAAAAATATTTGTCAAAAAAAGAAATGTACAAAATGAACATAAATATACATATATACACGGTATATCATCCATTCCTCCCCGCATCTTGCCTGGGCGCAGCCAGGGCTTTTTAGGACGAGGCCTCAGTGTGGTAGTCCCGTCCCCGTGATGTATTTTCCGCCAGGATCTGGCTGGACGAAATCAAATGCAAATCACAAAATATTAGAGAAACTTAGTTGTTTTAGATTCGTTAGTAGTAGTTGTGGTAGGAGTGTGGATCTATCGAATCCATCGATATAATCAACTCAGTAAGCTTGCCAGCTAATATGCTAACCTAGCTTTCTTGTTTACCTTAGCAAACACGATATGAACGTTAGCTCGGAGGAACGGCAACTATAATGGAGTGTAATAAAACTACTATGAACAAAAGCTAGTGGTTCATATTAGGCTAGCAATAACGTGTTTATAATTGCAATCTTATACGGGTAGTCTGCTACGTTCGCCCGGAGTATATTGTCTATGAGTATTTGGTGTGTGAATGCAGACATTCTCCTGCTATGAGATACATGTACGTAAGGCCATCTGCTGATATTGGAGTTGATATATGGAAACGCTAGCAACTTAGTTAGCACAGTTAGCACTGTGTCAATGGCTTAGCAGTCCGAAACACGTTTACACATTTAAACAGTCGTGGTAGATACCTTGTTTGATAAATACACAAATAACAATGCAAACTTACAGGTTGTGTACCCGAATCTTCCCCTGCTCCAAACGGTCCAAACAAACTAGGAATAGCATTGTCCTTCAGTTTCAAATGCTGTGCATATCCGGCCTCAAACTGGGCAATGTTTTGGAAGCTTTCGTCTGTGAAATGCCGGTTCTTCGAACCTCTGAAGGAACAGTGTTAAAAAGAAATTTCAACCACTGACTTCGTCGTGGTTCTTCCGTCGGTAGGACAAACAGCTCAGATTTCTCCTCACATTTCAGGAAACAGGTCCTTGGCATTTGCATGACTGGATCGATTGTGAACTGAACCAGAGCTTCCAACAGTAAATGTTAGGCTGGCAGAGGGTGCGGCCAGCGCCGCTGGGTGTGGCCATAGCTCTTCGGGATTGGTCCATTTCGTTCCGGGTACGGCATGACATCATGCCGTACCCGGAACTAAATGGAAGACTCAAATGGGCAGTGACATATCTCCAACGAGGCGTTTTGGGGAGGTATTTTCTGTGTTAGAGTTTTACTCACTACAGGGTGTACTTTGAGGGTTTTGACTCTGCACACCGTTTACATGCATAAAAACCTTCATAACACACAAGGGGACGGGTAATAACCGGAAAAGCATGACATGGGAGCTTTAACAATAAAATAAAGAATTTGCTTTACTTACATATGAGGATGACCACCAACAGATGTTTGGCCATGATGAAGCTGAGTGATAAAATGTAAAATAATTCAAGACCTCACTTTTTGTTTGACTGTATGGACTTTGACACACTGTCATTATGAAGAACATGTTCTCAGGAAAACCACAGCGAGAAACAGAAGTGAATCACACTGACAGACAGCCACAGGAACACACACCATGAGACCCAGTTCATGTGGGCTAACTGTTTCAGGAAATAACCTTTTGAAACTATTTTTTGAAACAGCTCAAACATACACACTAGGGGGTATGAATATTATTATGTATTTTTCTTCAAGATAATGGACCAACTAAATGTGCATCTAGCATCCTCCGATTTATCCGAGTCTCCAATGTTCAAAGAAAAAGATGGACCAATGCAATTATGTCTTTTCCACTGTTCTCCATTTGCATTAACACATTTAATATCCAAACAAACCAATACAATGTATACAGCTTTTAATAAACTCAGTTTTACCCTCTTTTATTTCAATGTGGGTTCACAAGCAAACATGTACATTTCAAGGATTAATTTAGGTACATGGTTTAAATATTGTGTTATTTACCTGGCAACTTAAAAAATAAATAAAGGCAGGAAGTCAAGCAGACTAAAATGAAAAGAAAACAAACCACAGCAACTTTTGTTATAATCTGAATATACAGTATATACAAAAACTGATATATTGTGAAATCAACAGATAAAGATAGCTTTGCATCAAACAGGCTGTATGTGGGACCAACATATTGTTAACTAACATACAGTGTGCATACTAATGAGCTGCCTGCTATGAGCAATTTTGTTTGCAAGTGCGCCTGTCAATCATCATGTAACAAAAGGGGGTGTCATAAGGAACATTTTGGAGTTCACCCCCTTTCACACTTTATACCCTTAATGACCCCTTGGCCCTTCTTGCTCGGACCACACCATTCTTCAAATTCAACGTTCATCTGAATCTCAACAACACCGTAACTTTTCATGACTGCATCTGGCAAGTTGTGATGCTATCGTTAGTGATAAATATCTGCACACTGACACACGTACACACAAAATACAGCCTCAGGCTCAGGGAGGTAACCCCCAGTTATATATGGGACTTACATCAAACATCAAACTAGCTATTTATTGAATACTTTTAGCTTTGAAAGACATCTCAATTTCCCTATGGATCATAAGATACGTTAAAATAATTAAAGAAAAGCAAAAATAAATGGCACATGGTTTTAAAAGCAGTCCTTCATGCTGTTGCTTTCTGTTCAATAGGCCTGCAGGGTGCTGTACACCATGTCGTTCAGGGCTGATGGGGGTGGCTCCTCGGAGATGGTGGAGTACACATGGTATATGTCAGACTAAAGGAGAAAGAAACCATAAGGCTCATTAAATCTTTACTACATACAAACATTTAGCAAATGTGTTACACAATGTGTCTCACGTCTCACTCACATCCTCATTTTGAGAGGCTTGCCTGCTCGGTTTTCTCAGGACCTGTGAGAACAAGAGAGAGGATGGGTTCAGTGGTTTAGTCCATCGGTTCTATTTGTAACAAGTTTTAAGTGATTAAACATCTGTCTGGATCACAAGCCATTTTTCGAGTTCGGTTCAAATTAGTTTTTTGTTGTGGTTCTCCTTCAATAATACAGATGCAGCTCACCAGTGAGACAAACAGCAGCAGGTACTGAGGGGATCATACTGTAGGCTTCATCGTTACCTGCAGGTAACTTAAGATAACAGGAAGGAAGGGAGAGGAAGTGAGAGGAACTCATGAATAACAATGTTAATAAACCTTGAGGAACTTTGATTTTCAAATGTTCCATTATTTTAGATGATGGGAATGTTATATCTGACATAGAAAACTGTTTTTTTTAATTACCGATCCTCCATGGTCAAGCTTTCTCATGCACATTAAGTCATCTGTAACAGAGAGTAAAACACACCTCAACACAAAAGAAGAACAATATATAATATCTCTATTCTGTAGGTATGAATAATAAAGTTTTCTGACTGCTTCATGTATACATTACCGGTGACATTGGCGTGTGTCCTATACAGATATAAAAGGGGAAAATGTTTCATTAAAGAGAGTTTAGTTTGGTGTAGCTTAGTTTACTTTATTTAATACGGGAATCACATTAGAATGGGAACATACACTTATGTACAAGGATCAGATGCACTGGGTTAAGTCTTGTAGCTAAATGCTAATGTGTGTCAAGTTGTTCTCATTACACTAGAAACAGCATGGTTGACAATAAAGATAACATCAAAAGGAAAACATGTATTTCTTAAAACCCCTCTCAGACCTAAATGGAAAAGAAATAGGTGGCATCTGGCTTTGGAGATAACAACTAACCCCTCTCTTTACACGACTGCAGAACAACTAAAGTCCTGCTGCAGAGGATGCACTCAAAAGCTACTTGAAGAGAATAAGATGAAATTCTGAATGAAGGAAATGTCAAACTGTAAAAGATAACTACCTATTTACTAACTCACCTATTGCTGAAAAGGTCAAACAAAAAATACATATCCTTACCTCTTGGCAGCACATCTTTCTGAAAAAGAGAGAGAGAGAAGCATGGTGTTTGTTGGGGCAAAGCACTGAAGTTGTATTGGCTTATTAGACATCAGCTGTTTCTGATAAGCTTCACATGTATTGGCTCATTCCCAGCTGTGCATTGGACATTGATTACGTCCAATCATGTTCAAGCAGGTGTGCAGAGCAGACATTATAAACTAACTCCCTTCAACCAAACTTCCTTCTTTCTAAGTATTTCATATTTTTGATCAAAGTGAGATTTACAGTATGATCTTACGTGTTCAATATGGGCATTTGCTAACTCACCCTGATCCTCCACCTGGATTCTATACTTACACAAAGAGCAGGGAGGAAAACATTCTTTAGTGGGCACAAACATTAAGTTCTCACCAGTTGTTCTTTTGGTAAATAGAAATGCCAGTCTCAGTACGATAACACCTCCAAGAGAAGCCGCAACTATTACCAACTTCCATGTCCATGTTTCTGTGTGAGGTCAGAAACAAGTCAGTTTCACTTCCAACTCAAAAGCAAGAAGTGTGTACCTATGTACCAGTAAAGGGCACACTGAATATAAAACACGTAGTACTGGGTATTGCTTTGAAACTGATATAAATTAAACACTTGAGTACAGTTGAGAAGATGATACATTATTACATTCCAGAGAGTAATAAAGCAAACCAGGTTGATAAACTGTCGATTGATAAACTGTCGATTAGGAGGTAACCATGTTTAACGTTAATATAATTAATGTTATATATTATTCACAAAAAGGACAGCTTTAACTAATTTGCTGCATAATATGTCAATTTGCTATAGGGAAGAGAATAGTACTAACATAAATATAATTTTATTTTTAATGTTAATAGTATGTGTAAGTAATAGATGCTTTTGATCACCTGATGATGGGGTCTCTGGGGTCACTGATGGGGAAATAGCTTGAGTGCTAGACGTATAAGGATTCTGACCTACAGTATTGTAATAAACAAAAAGTCAAAGACATTAAAACATTTAGAGAAAATGCATGTTGGCATTTTTGATGGACTTAAAAAAAGTGTGAATAATAAGGTTTTATGGAAGTAGAGATAAAACTAGCAGTTTTTCTTGCACTAACATTATATGATAAAATATGAAATAATGAGTAAAAGTCACTCACTGTGTACGGTGATGGAGGACGTGTCACTGTGTGGAGATGGAGCTGTTGACCCTCCAAGTTTTACAGTGTAATAACATTTCACTTGAACCTGAGCAGGTGAACTCTGCTGTGACATCTGCAGCAGCTCAGTTCCTGTCAGAGTCTTCAGACAAGAGAAGATTCTGACAATTCGTCCACTTAAAGTGTAGAAATAACAGTCAGACACAGAAACAGAGGGTGGAGTCTGACAGTGCAGAGTGACTGAGTCTGTCTCTGTGATCACCGGAGGATTCACTGTCAGTGTCGGGGGAAGAAGAGCTGGAAATATAAGGATATGTTCAGTTAAAAAGCTGAATATCTCATTTGTTTAAAAACATTGCTGAAGATAATTTAATATATAATGGCAGAGCGTTCTTATTGAAACCCTAAAAAAGTGGTGTGCTCCTACTTTGGATAGATATGCTACTGTAGTTGTATTGAATATTAACGGTGTCGACTCACTGTGAATGAAGATGGAGGATACATCACTTTCAGGAGATTGAGTCATGTCACGATAATAATAACATTTCACTTGAACCTCAGCAGGTGATCTCTGCTGTGACATCTGCAGCAGCTCAGTTCCCGTAAGAGTCTTCTGACAAGAGAAGACTTTGACAATTCCTCCACTTAAAATGTAGAAATAACAGTCAGACACAGAAACAGAGGGTGGAGTCTGACAGTGCAGAGTGACTGAGTCTGTCTCTGTGATCACCGGAGGATTCACTGTCAGTGTTGGTGGAGGAAGAGCTGGAAATATAAGGATATGTCAGATTTCTAATTCATTTCTGATTTCTGAATTTATAATGCAGAGAATAATCATTGATAACCTATAACTCTTCTCTTAAGACCTGACCCTCTATGTTAAGAGCCACTGCTGTTTGTGCTGATAAAGATATTACTTGTTATGTTTAATGGGCAATGGATATCCTCTCATATCTATTGCAGGACACCCAATTTAACTGCAATACTAATTATTTTATTGGTATCATGGGGAAAAAATAGTTGTTGCTAAATAGTGTGACAACCACAGACTTAACAGACTTTAATAAACTTCCCCTATATTGAAAACAGCAAAAGTGGACATGAAAGATAATATATCAGAGACTGACCTTGTGTTTGAATCTTGGGAAAGGAATCTGCCAAAGAATACAATGTGTTATTAAGGTCAACCAACATAATAACAACAACATATTAATACCTTTAAGAAAATATGAAGATAAAGATCAAGATAGACTTTTTTTTGAGGATCTCATTTTAAATTCTGCACCACAGTTTCACTATAAGTTTACAGATAAAACCAGAATTAAAAACGCGTTATCCTTTTACAAATTAAACGTGATACTGCATCTTGCACTAACATTATATTATAATATATAAAATAATGAGTAAAAGTCACTCACTGTGTACGGTGATGGAGGACGGGTCACTGTGTGGAGATGGATAATTTGACCCTTCAAACGTTATAGTGTAAAAACATTTCACTTGAACCTCAGCAGGTGAACTCTGCTGTGACAGCATCAGCAGCTCAGTTCCTGTCAGAGTCTTCAGACAAGAGAAGACTCTAGTTCCTCCACTTAAAGTGTAGAAATAACACTGAGACACAGAAACAGAGGGTGGAGTCTGACAGTGCAGAGTGACTGAGTCTGTCTCTGTGATCACCGGAGGATTCACTGTCAGTGTCGGTGGAGGAAGAGCTGGAAATTAAGAAGAACATATATGTTTGTCACATGAGATAATTAAATTCCTAATGGATAACGGTTAACATTTAGAAAAGTATCTATATAACAAATGGTGTGTAGAATTTGTCAAATTAAGAGAGACTGACCTTGTGCATTTATCTCAGAAAATGAATCTGTTGAAGAAAGAACGTATTAACAAGGTAAAACGTGACTTTGATAATAAATAGTAAAGTCTCGATGTTATTCTTGTTTTTCTTTCAACTCAATGTAAAAGCTTCATATCACATCCTGAAGCCGATAAATAATTATCTAATAATAAATATCAACTTGTCTCTTTCACATGAAATGAAAGGGGCCTGTACAGTATGTGTGTTCAACCACATTTCACCAACCACCGTCATTAACAATAAAATAAAGAATTTGCTTTACTTACATATGAGGATGACCACCAACAGATGTTCAGCCATGATGAAGCTGAGTGATCAAATGTAAAATAATTCAAGACTTCACTTTTTGTTTGACTGTATGGACTTTGACATACTGTCATTATGAAGAACATGTTCTCAGGAAAACCACAGCGAGACACAGAAGTGAATCACACTGACAGACAGCCACAGGAACACACACTCCATGAGACCCAGTTCATGTGGGCTAACTGTTTCAGGAAATAACCTTTGCATTGTTTTCTTTTAATTGGATTCAAACAACTAAATTAAGACTAAAGATAACATACACTAGGTAGTAGGTACTAAGTGCAAGTCTTACCAGAAAACTATTTTTTGAAACAGCTCAAACATACACACTAGGGGGTATGAATATTATTATGTATTTTTCTTCAAGATAATGGACCAACTAAATGTGCATCTAGCATCCTCCGATTTATCCGAGTCTCCGATGTTCAAAGAAAAAGATGGACCAATGCAATTATGTCTTTTCCACTGTTCTCCATTTGGATTAACACATTTAATATCCAAACAAACCAATACAATGTATACAGCTTTTAATAAACTCAGTTTTTACCCTCTTTTATTTCAATGTGGGTTCACAAGCAAACATGTACATTTCAAGGATTAATTTAGGTACATGGTTTAAATATTGTGTTATTTACCTGGCAACTTAAAAAATAAATAAAGGCAGGAAGTCAAGCAGACTAAAATGAAAAGAAAACAAACCACAGCAACTTTTGTTATAATCTGAATATACAGCATATACAAAAACTGATATATTGTGAAATCAACAGATAAAGATAGCTTTGCATCAAACAGGCTGTATGTGGGACCAACATATTGTTAACTAACATACAGTGTGCATACTAATGAGCTGCCTGCTATGAGCAATTTTGTTTGCAAGTGCGCCTGTCAATCATCATGTAACAAAAGGGGGTGTCATAAGGAACATTTTAGAGTTCACCCCCTTTCACACTTTATACCCTAAATGACCCCGTGGCCCTTCTTGCTCGGACAACACCATTCTTCAAATTCAACGTTCATCTGAATCTCAACAACACCGTAACTTTTCATGACTGCATCTGGCAAGTTGTGATGCTATCGTTTGTGACAAATATCTGCACACTGACACACGTACACACAAAATACAGCCACAGGCTCATGGAGGTAACGCCCAGTCACAGAGCTGGTCACTCTGACAGATGAGAATACATCAAACTAGCTGTTTATTGAATACTTTTAGCTTTGAAAGACATCTCAATTTCCCTATGGATCATAAGATACGTTATAATAATTAAAGAAAAGCAAAAATAAATGGCACATGGTTTTAAAAGCAGTACTTCATGCTGTTGCTTTCTGTTCAATAGGCCTGCAGCGTGCTGTACACCATGTCGTTCAGGGCTGATGGGGCTGGCTCCTCGGAGATGGTGGAGTACACATGGTATATGTCAGACTAAAGGAGAAAGAAACCATAAGGCTCATTAAATCTTTACTACATACAAACATTTAGCAAATGTGTTACACAATGTTTCTCACGTCTCACTCACATCCTCATTTTGAGAGGCTTGCCTGCTCTGTTTCTCAGGACCTGTGAGAACAAGAGAGAGGATAGGTTCAGTGGTTTAGTCCACCAGTTCTATTTGTAACAAGTTTTAAGTGATTAAACATCTGTCTGGATCACAAGCCATTTTTCGAGTTCGGTTAAAATTCGTTTTATGTTGTGGTTCTCCTTCAATAATACAGATGCAGCTCACCAGTGAGACAACCAGCAGCAGGTACTGAGGTGATCATACTGTAGGCTTCATCGTTACCTGCAGGTAACTTAAGATAACAGGAAGGAAGGGAGAGGAAGTGAGAGGAACTCATGAATAACAATTTGCTTTTCAAATGTTCCATTATTTTAGATGATGGGAATGTTATATCTGATATAGAAAACTGTTTTTTGAATTACCGATCCTCCATGGTCAAGCTTTCTCATGCACATTAACTCATCTGTAACAGAGAGTAAAACACACCTCAACACAAAAGAAGAACAATATATAATATCTCTATTCTGTAGGTATGAATAATAAAGTTTCCTGACTGCTTCATGTATACATTACCGGTGACATTGGCTTGTGTCCTATACAGATATAAAAGGGGAAATGTTTCATTAAAGAGAGTTTAGTTTGGTGTAGCTTAGTTTACTGTATTTAATAAGGGATCACATTAGAATTGGAACATACACTTATGTACAAGGATCAGATGCACTGGGTTTAGTCTTGTAGCTAAATGCTAATTTGCATCGAGTTGTACTCATTACACTAGAAACAGCATGGTTGACAATAAAGATAATATCAAAAGGAAAACATGTATTTCTTAAAAACCCCTCTCAGACCTAAATGGAAAAGAAATAGGTGGCCTCTGGCTTTGGAGATAACAACTAACCCCTCTCTTTACACGACTGCAGAACAACTAAAGTCCTGCTGCAGAGGATGCACTAAAAAGCTACTTGAAGAGGATAAGATGAAATTCTGAATGAAGGAAATGTCAAACTGTAAAACATAACTACCTCTTTACTAACTCACCTATTGCTGAAAAGGTTAACAAAATAATACATATCCTTACCTCTTGGCAGCACATCTTTCTGAAAAAGAGAGAGAGAGAAGCATGGTGTTTGTTGGGGCAAAGCACTGAAGTTGTATTGGCTTATTAGACATTGGCTGTTTCTGATAAGCTTCACATGTATTGGCTCATTCCCAGCTGTGTTACTACTTACGTCCAATCACGTTCAAGCAGGTGTGCAGAGCAGACATTATAAACTAACTCCCTTCAACCAAACTTCCTTCTTTCTAAGTATTTCATATTTTTGATCAAAGTGAGATTTACAGTATGATCTTACGTGTTCAATATGGGCATTTGCTAACTCACCCTGATCCTCCACCTGGATTCTATACTTACACAAAGAGCAGGGAGGAAAACATTCTTTAGTGGGCACAAACATTAAGTTCTCACCAGTTGTTCTTTTGGTAAATAGAAATGCCAGTCCCAGTACGATAACACCTCCAAGAGAAGCCGCAACTATTACCAACTTCCATGTCCATGTTTCTGTGTGAGGTCAGAAACAAGTGTCAGTTTCACTTCCAACACAAAAGCAAGAAGACTGTGTGTACCTATGTACCAGTAAAGGGCACACTGAATATAAAACACGTAGTACTGGGTATTGCTTTGAAACTGATATAAATTAAACACTTGAGTACAGTTGAGAAGATTATACATTATTAAATTCCAGAGAGTAATAAAGCAAACCAGGTTGATAAACTGTCGATTGATAAACTGTCGATTAGGAGGTAACCATGTTTAACGTTAATATAATTAATGTTATATATTATTCACATAAAGGACAGCTTTAACTAATTTGCTGCATAATATGTCAATTTGCTATAGGGAAGAGAGTAGTACTAACATAAATATCATTTTATTTGTAATGTTAATAGTATGTGTAAGGAATAGATGCTTTTGATCACCTGATGATGGGGTCTCTGGGGTCACAGGTGAGAGAATAGCTTGAGTGCTAGACGTATAAGGATTCTGACCTATTGTAATAAACAAAGAGTCAGAGACATTAAAACATTTAGAGAAAATGCATGTTGGCATTTAGACTTAAAAAAAGTGTGAATAATTAGGAAACTGAGTATTTGTGTTACCTTGTGTTGGTTTCACTGGTTTTATGGAAGTATTGATAAAACTACCAGTGTTTCTTGATCCAACAGTAACACCTAGTGAATGAATACAAGTAAATATAAAATAATAAAAAATGTATTTATGATGATAAATTAAAGTCACATTTAATAAATATGTTATAGTGTTACCTGGTGTTTGTTTGGTAGTAGTCATAGGAGTGAAAGAACTGATAACAGTCCTTACTGGTGAAAAAGAAAACATTGAAAACATTGAAAACAACAAATATAGAAAGTCAATTGTGATCATTTCTGTATTTCTATTCAAATGTAAAGCATGTCCTGCCTGTGGTCATAGTAGATGTCAACATAGTCTTTGTCAAGCGTGTGTCCTTTTCCACGATATCTAAAACAAAAGAAGATGGATTAGATCTGTCAGCTTCATGTGCAGAAAACTTATATTTGTGCAATTATTTGAGCAAAAGAAGAAACATATGTTTAGTTTGTTAACAGTTAAATATGGCAACTAAATAAATGTGGAGCATTAACACACAAACACATTTTTTTGTATGTCTTTTGTAAGTAGGTTCTGGATTGTTATTCAGATAGATATTAACTCTTACCTGGGGGGGGTAGTAAAAGCTGATATTTTGGAGGGCTCCTTTTCCACAATATCTGCAGGAAAGGAAACAGATTTGGGCCTGTCATTTTCGTGTGTACAATAAAAAAACATTATTACTCTTATTTGTGCAATGACTTAAACACAGAGCTGTTCCAAAAATATTAAACCAGAGAAAAATGTATGTGCTCTAAGAGATGTTGGATGATTTACCAATTTGGTCCACAATGAAATATTTTGCAATTACATTTTGTAGACAATCATAGTCCCCAGATGATAATTCCAAATGAC